CACACATTCTATTAAGAACTATGAAAATCACACCTTGAAAAAAATAAAAAGAAAAGAACTAAATGATTTCAACACCAAGATGAGTCTGAAGTTAGAATGATATGACCAAGATGTCAAATGATCAATTATGAATTCTCTTTGAACAAATAGAAAATGAAACTGATAAAATTTCTAAGTGAGACTGAAGAAAAGGAGACGACAGACACAAAGAATGAAATAAGAACTATTGCTACAGGTCTTGAAGCCACTGAAAAGTTAAAGGAATTCAACAAACATATTAACTCATAAGCTCATAGTTTAAACTTGTATAAACTCATTAATTCATAAATTAAGTCTCATGTGTTTGACAAACTAGAAAAAAGATGGACCGATTCCCCAAAAACCACAAATTTCTAAAACTCAAACACAATAAAATAGGTAGCAATATTAAAAGCATTAGATAAATTGCATTCTTAAGAAAAACATCCTGAAAAAAGACACCTCTAGGTCCAGGTGGCTCCATGATAATTTTACCAAACATCCTAAGAATTACATCAACTTATAGGAAGAGAAGAGGAGAAGCGATAATTTCCTCACTCATTTGATGAGAACAGTGTTAGCTTGGTACCCAAACTGGAGTAACTTACACATACTTTGTTACAAAAACCTTCAACAAAAATTAGCAAATGGAATCTAGCAATATAGTAAAAGAATTATACACTGAGACTAAGCCGGAAGCACTTAAGGCTGCTTTGACATTTGAAATAAGCAGAACTGCATCAATAAACCAAAGAAGAAAAATCATACATCAATTGACACTGAAAAAGAATATGGCAAAAGCTTTCAGAAAGCTAAGGATGTGGAGAATTTCCTCAATTTGATAAAGAGAATGTGCAAAGACATACAGCTAAAATCACACTTAAGAATGCAGCCTACATAAATGACACAAGTGAATAGACTCAAACACAGCCAGACACACAATACACACTCATTTTACTCGCACAAATGACAACAGGCAAGACTGGACTAGACCGGTGGATTGTTTCAGTATCCTGGTTTCTACATTGTAAGATACCAGCATTAGACAAGGTAGGATGAAGGGTAGATCCATGGAATTGTGTAATATATAATTACCTTAATGAAAAAATACTCAGTTAAAAACCTCACAAGGGGCTGGGGATGTAGCTTAGCAGGACAGCGCTTACCTGGTGTGCACAAGGTCTTGGGTTTGATCCCCAGTACAGCAATAACAACAACAACAACAAACCCCCATAGGCTTAGGGCTTAAAAAAATATGTGGGAGTTTAGTTTTACTCTATCTCTTGCACTGAAGAAAAAGCAGTAAAGAGTCAAGCCATTTATTTTATCACTAATACCTGCATGGAGGACTTTCTTTCTCTGAGTCTTTTGACTTGAAAGGTCCCATGGTATTTTTGACATATTTGGGGGCGAGGTTTGTGTTGATTCAACATCACATTGAGGTTTGGCACATTTTTCTGGGGTTGAAACCATAGAAGAGATTTCCTTTTGATGCCTATTTTGATTTGGATAAAAAGTAAGCGGGGGGGGGAAGGGGAGGGGAGAGATAAAAGAAAATTTCCATCAGGAAGAGAGAGTTAAAGTAACATTCACATTAAACATTGCAAACTTAAAGAAACAAGTCTTCTATTTGGGCTAATATAAGAATAGTCAGAAGTGTGAGTGGGAATCAGACATGAGGCTTCTATCTCAGGTCTGTTCCTTTTGTTTTTTCCCAGATGTGTGACCTTAATTGAAGTCACTCAATCCCCCCTAACTGCTTCACTTTCCTCATCTATCCTTGAGGAAAGAAACTTCACCTGTGCACCAACCGTGTGGGTGTGAAGTGATGATTCATAGGTGAGAGAACCAGTTATAAACACAAAAGATTACAGAAACTCATGTTTCTAACCTAAGAGTCAACTAGCAACTCTGATAAAAGCCAGAGAAAGGAAGCTCCTGCCTTGGGCCTCCCAGACAAGCAAGAGATCCCTGCAAAGCATGCTGGGGAAGACATAGGCCAGGAGGGGTCAGGAAATCTCGAATATTTGTGTTGATATTGCTGTCTTTGAAGCTCTGAACACAGCAACCACAGACAGGAATATTTTCAGGACAATCTCCTACTCCATCACTGTGAAGCGTGCTCTCCCTCCTCCTCCAGCCCCTCTAACCCAGGCCCACCAAAGCCATCCGTCCATGAGCACCCTCACTGTGGTCCATAACCCATATGTGACCATGTGACCCAATCCACATGGTGCCTTCTGTGGCACAAGAGTCAAGCATAAGCTCACTTATGCGATCCCTAACCCCGGTGCAGGATTTCTTCTCAATAAATGTTTGGAAAAGGATTTGGGGGCTGTTAAATATTTTCCTCTCTTGAGAAACTAGGAAAAGGCAGTTTGGTGTTGACCATAGCTGAGGGGCAGAATTAACTTTTCCTAAGCTTGTTAGGTTGTTGAGTCATGATATGCATAGATTGGCCACAGGCCCTAGAGTCCCGAGGCTGGAGTGACTTGCTTTAGGAATGGGGAAATATGTGGAAGGCTGCATGTCTCTTGGCTGTGTGGGGAAACTCCTAAGGCAAGATAACATCTGCTGAGAACAATGCAAAAAAATGCAGGAATCCCGGTATGAAGGACCTAATCCCCATTTTGTTCCCTTTGTGCTGATTAACTTGTTCCTCATTTTTTTTTTACTGCCTCATCCTTATTTTTCTAGGAAAAGCACATACCCCTCCACTGCACTTCTTGCTAATAACCGTGGAGTTTATTGAGTTTGTCCACTAAAGGCAGGCTCTTCCTGGTCCCCTTTATACCCTGAATATTGTCTCTGTCTCTCTTTATTCCCTGTCATCCACCCCTATAGATATCCGAGGCTCTGATCAGCCCAGGCATTAGATTAAGAGGAAGCACTGAGCATGCACAGTACCCTGCAAAGAGGTACAGTGCTCTACTCTTCCCTTGATGTTAATGAAGCCAGAGCACTCAGGTGCCAAGTGCATCCTATAACCCAGCTCCTGGCCCTCTCCCTACCATCATCCCATGTTCTATGTAGAAGAGGGAGCTGGGCTCAGCAGGATTAGGTAACTCATCTGAACACCTAACAGGTGGAATATTAGAATGTTTCTCTGCTTCCTCCATCTTTCAAAAAAGAACAAGAGACTATCTACTTCTCAAATAGTGGACCAATTCAACTGACCAATTCAACTTCTAAGAAACAGCTGGCCACTTTTCCTGAGATTTTAAGTTTGATTAAATAAGAAAATGATAATTGATTTACTAGCTAAAAGTGTAGAGAAGATAATTTACATTTAAGTGCAGCTCATTTATTTGATTCTTTTTTTTTACTTGTTCAAATTTGCTGAGTCCAGAAAATTTATCTGTATAAATGTTTCCCAGATATTTAAAAATTAATGCTGTGAGTGGGTCTGGCAGTGTGCACCTGTAATCCCAGTACTAAGGAGGCTGAGGCAGGAGGATCACCAGCCGGGTTCCAGGCCAGCCTAGGCTACACAGTGAGCTCAAGGCCAATGTGAACTACATAGATAGACCTTCTCTCTCAAATAAATAAATAAAAAGCTGACAATCATTTTATGTGAGCATTTTACTGAAGGAAACCTCCCATGGTATTTCAGAAAGGAGGAGCATCCAGTAGACCAAGCGAGGGTCTAAGAGAACCCTGGCCTGGGTCACAAGCATTGGCACACTTACTTGCTGTCACCTTCCTTCTCTCCGTTGTACCACCAGTCCATGATCACACACTCATAATAAAGGTTTTTCACCTTGTCCAGATCATTGTACCCCTGCTCCATTTCCTGAAGCAAAAGTGTTAGATCTCCATTCTGCTGAAATGAAAAGTGAATACATTATGGGGAAAAAATGAGAACCAAGATCTGTCATGTAAAGGTACAAGATCTCAATGATGAGTGTAACTGTACTGTATTCCTAAAAAGTACCAATAAACTCAATGAAGAAAAGTGAATACATTATGAGGCTGAATGAAAGAGTACAAATTTCAAACACATCTGAAAGAAAACCAAATATATTGGGGAAAAAATCTCAAGAATTTTCATGGGACTCATTCCATTTCTAGCCAAATTAATGAACATACAAAGCACACACAATAAGCTGCACACATATAAAGTTTAGCACTAGGGAAGCTTAGAAATTCACACTTATGATTCATACTTAGGAATAAGGTAACAAAAACATCTATACCCCCCAAGAAGTTCCTTGTACCCCACTGTAAATCATCTTCCTTACTACAATCTCTTTTCCTAATCTCCAAGTACTAAGCATTCTGTCACTACAAATTAGTTCCAAATTTTCTGGAATTTTATATAAATGGAATCATATAGTAAATACTTTTTCTTGTATGACTTCCTTCACTCATATGATTATTTTGAGATTCACCCATTGTAATGTGAATTAACAGTTCATTTTGTTGCTGAGCAGTATTCTGTTGTTTACCACATATTCATATCTATTTACCCATTCACATCTTGATGGATAGTTATTTCCAAGCTTGGGGTATTGTAGGTAAAGCTATGAATATTTATGTCCAAGCTTTTGTTTGAACATCTGCTTCTATTTCTCTTGGGTAAGCTAGGGTGGGATGCTTAGACCATATAAATGGAGCTTTCATAGAAACTACCATACTACAAGGTCCTGAGTTCAATCCGCAGTACCAAAAAAAAAAAAACAAAAGAAACTACCAAACTGTTTGCCAGAATGGTCTCACACTTTATATCTCCCTGGTCATGTATGAGAGTTCCAGGGCCTCCACATCTTGCACTCATTTGGACATTTTATTTTAGCCATGACAGGACCTGCGTTAACACTATCTAATCATCATTTGATGTGTATTTCCCTAATGCCTAATGACAATAATGATTTAGAGCATCTTTTAATGTTCTTATTTGCCATGCATATATCTTTTTTGGCAGTGTCTGCTTAAATCTTTTGTCCTTATTTTGAGTTTTTCTCATTATTAAGACTTGAGAAATCTTTATATATTCTGGATACAAGTATTTCATTAAGTATAACACAATTTTCTCCCAGTCCACAGCTTTTCTGTTCATAATCATAGAATTTTTTTTTCTGGTATCAGGGATCAAACTCAGGACCTTGCACTTGCAAGGTAGGCACAGTGCCACTGAGCTAAATCTCTGGCCTCACAACATTATCTTTTAAGAGGAAAAAGATTTTAACTTTAATTAATTCCAATTTAACAACTTATTTTCCTTTGGATTATACTTTTGATGCGCTGTCTTTAAAAATCTTTGTCTGACAAAAGACATTCTCCTCTAGAAGGAGAAAAACACAGGCTTTACATTTAGGTACATGAACCATCTTAAGTTAATTTTTGAATATAGTATGAAGTATAAACAAAATGATTTATTTGATTACAAATATCCAGTTGTTCCAACACTGTATGTTGGGAGGAATGGACTAAAAATTCTCAAGTAAATTGTTTTTGTGGGCTGGGGATCTAACTCAGTGGTTCTACCTCCTGCCTTGCAAGCACAATGTCCCAAGTTCGATCCCTGGTACCAAAAACAAACCAAAACAAATAAATAAAATTTAAAAATTGCTTTTGTTGAAAATTTGTTATCCTGCATGTCAATCTATTTCTGATTTTTCTAATTTTATTTTGTTGATCAATGTGTCTTTTCACTAATACCACACCTTCTTGACTACTGTTGCTTTAAGATAAGTCTTAAAATCAGGTAGTTTTAGTATCCCAACTTTGTTCTTTTCTAAAGTCTTTTTGGTGACTCTAAATCCTTTGCATTTCTATAGAGTCAGTCTGTCAATTTTTATTTTTAAAAAGCCACCTGGGATTTTAATGGGGATTGTATTTGAGTCGACAGATCAATTAGGAGACAGCAAACAACTTAAACTATCAGGGTTTCTGCTCATGCACAAAATATATGTCTCAGCAGTGCTTCGTAGTGTTCTGTATACAGGCCTTTCATATATTTTGACAGATGTGTCCTTACATGATTCATGTTTTTTTATTATATCGTCAATGATTTTATTAAATATTTCAATTATTCTATGCTAATATGTAGAAACAAAATTCATTTTTAATATTTTCCTTTGTAACTCAATCTTGATAAATTCAATGATTAGTTATTTCCATTACTTCTTTGTGCATTCCATTGGATTTCTACATGAGTGGTCATGTTGAATAAATATAAAGACAGTTTCATTTCATCTTTCCAGTTTTGATGCCTTTTCTCCTTTTTTTTTTTTTTTTTTGCTGTAATTAGAACTTCCAATTATGATGTTGAACAGGAAAGGGGAGGACAGACATTCTTGTAATTTTCCTGATATTAGGAGGAAGAATTCAATCTTTTACCATTAAAGTATGGTGTTAAGCTACAGGTTTTTTGCATAGTTGTTAACTCAGATTAATCCCATTCAATTCATACCTTGCTGAGGCTTTTATTAGAAATGTATGTTGTTTTTTTTAAAAAAATTCATTAATTCATTGTACAAGTTAATGGATTTGTGAGAAATTTTCAAGTATGCATGTATCCTACATTGTTTGAATCCACTCTCCTTATCCCTTCTCTCTTGCCCTCCTCCCTTGTCCTCTTCTCCTTTCCCATTCATCCTTCTACTTCCTGGTCATTCCCCTGCTCTTTTGTAGTTTCTGCCCAAGAGAGAAGACATACAATACTTGTCTTTCTGTGTCTGGGTTTGTTACTTAACGCAGTGACCTCCAGTCCCATCCATTTTCCTGCAAATGATATGATTTCATTCTTTATGGTGAATACTGTATTGTGTATATGCCATATTTTCTTTTCTGTTCATCTATTGATGGGTATCTAGGCTGATTCCACAGCTTAGCAACTGTGAATACTGCCACAGTAAACATGAGTGTGCAGGTACCTCTTTTGTGTGCTGATTTCATTTCCTTCGGTTATATACCCAGCAGTGGTATAGCTGGATCATGTGTTCCAGTTCTATTTCTAGCTTGTTGAGGAAACTTTATACTATTCTGCATAGTGGATGTGCTTTTCTAAAAAGTTTTCTCTGCGTCCACTGAAATGATTGCAAATTTTAAAAAATAAGTATGTTAATATGGTGAGGTACCATGTTGATTTTCAAAAGCCTTGTGTTTCTGGGATAAATAAATCTAACTTGGTTGTGATATATCAGATTTTTTAAAAGTACTGTTAACTTTGATTTATTAAATTTTGTTTGGAATGTTTACACCGACATGCATGAGGGTTATTAACCAACAAATTTCCTTCATAATGTCTTTGTGAGGTGTTGGTATCAGGTTAATGTTAGCCTCAAAGAATGAGTTGCACAGAATTTCTTTAATTTCTTTAACAGATATAGGATTACTTTGGTTTTATGTAAACACAAATGGTCTTTCTTTGAAATACATACCTAAGAAACCAGGTATTTATTGAGTTATATAGTAATTAATTTTTTTGTTGTTTTTAAAGAAACTGTCAACTTTTCCAGCAAGTGTTACTGATCCAGTTTCTCTTCTTTGTCTCTTGTCAGCACTGTGTTGTCACAATTTTAAATCTCAGCCTTCCTGAAGGCATGTAGTGACACCCTGTAGCAGTTTAATTTGCACTCCTCCAAGCCTAACGACATTAAACCTTTCTTCATAGCTTATTTGCCATATGCAAATCCTCTGTAGCTCAGCTACCACCTCTGACTATGTCCGTGAAAAGCCTGCATGTGTTTTGCCTATTTCTGATTGGATGCTTTGCTTTTTCCAATTGAGTTCTAAGAGCCTTTCATACATTCTAGATCCTAGAACTTTGTATGACATGACATATTGCAGATACTTCCTTCCATTCTGTAGCTCGTCTTTTCATTCTCTTAACAAAGTCTCTCACAGAGAAAAAGCTTTTAATTTTGATGAGGTCCAATACATTATGCCATTTATGAAGACTGCTTTCAGGATCAAGACCAAAACTTCTTCACCTAGCCTTAGGGCCTCACAATTTTTCCCCACATTTCTTTCCAGAAGTTTTATAGCTTTACGTTTTACATTTAAATCTGTGATCTATCCTGAGTTACTATTTACATAAGGGGAGAGGTTTATATTGAAGTTTGCTACTTTGCATATGGATGTCTAATCACCCTGACCATGTGTTGAAATAGCTTTCTTCACCCACTGAAATTGCTTTTGATCCTTTGTCATTATCAGGTAGGTGTGCTGTATGGTTATATTTCTATAACTTGTTCTAAGGGTCTCTGTGTCTACTCCTTCAAGCCACAATGTCTTAATAAGCTCAAATATATGAGCCCTTAGGTCCAGTTCAGTGTTTTTCCCTCTCATTACATGTCTGCACTTTCCTGCTTCTTTTTTATTCATGGTAATGTTTGATTGAATACCTGACACTGTCATTATTACTTTTGGGGATGGTGGATAGTTTTGTTTTCCCATAATTATTTGGGGGTTTTTCTGGATGCCATTTAGTTACTTAGAAAAGGTGTGATCCTTTCAGACCTTGTGCTTAAACTTTGTCAGATAGAATCAAAGCAGTGATTGTTTCTCCCACTACTCTGCCTAGTGCTCAAACGGTTGTGAGGTTTCCAGCCTAGTTGAAGCAGTCACTATTCCCAGGCTCGAGTGACTCCAGAGACCTGCTCTTTCTGATCCTTTTGGATAATTTGGTCTCCAGACCCAAGCAGTGCGCCCACTGCAGACACTGACATTCCCTGGCCTGATCTGGGTTTAAAGTCACCCTTCAGGATGTACAATGAGTGAAAAGACCCACTCCTCTCTTGAAGGGCATTCTTTTTTATTTCTACAAATCCATAGAGTTATAAATTTTATAAGTCCATAGTCATAATATTAGACTTTGGGTTTAATTTACCACTCATGCTTAAAAATTTAGAATATTCCATTTCATTAGGATAAACATAATATCAGTATCTTTAAATTTTAAGCCTTTTAAGGCCAGGGATTTAGCTCAGTGGTGCCACCACCTGCCTCACAAGCACAAGGTCACGAGTTTGATCCCCAGTACCAAAAAACAAATTTAAGCCTTTTAAATTTAATTGTGAAAGAAACAATGGTTTTGGAAAATTTCAAACAGTGTGGTTGAAAATGAAAGCATGTTGATGTGTTTCTGATCTCCATAGCATTCCTTTTATATAATGTTAATAGTTACTGTATACCTAGATGGGCATTCTTTTCTTTTTAGTACCAGGGATGGAACTCAGGACCTTGCACTTTCAAGAAGGCACAGTACCACTGAGCTAAATCCTCAGCCTCCAGGCATTCTTAAAATACATATCCTTGGGCCAAGATTGAAGGATTGGAGAATAGAATTTTATTGATTTTCCCCCATTAGCTATTATAATGAACTGCTTTAATGGATAGTCACATTTCTATAGTCTGATAAATCAAAGGACAATTACAGTATTTAACATGGAGCTTTTTACAAGTTTCCCAGAAATGTCTATATACAGCAGCAGTTAAAAAACTTCAGATATGGAACCCTGGAATCCTTGCATATTCCTAACGTTTGACAAAATATTGATAACTATTAAATCTGAGTGATGGTTATGCTGGGGTCCATATACTTTTGAGTTTGTTTGAAACTTTTTAAAATGAAAATAATATATATTGAGATTCCTGGGCCACTATCCTACAGCTTTATTTAGTCTCCTAAGTGAGACCTTGGAGTCCACTTTTTAAAATGAAAATAACATATATTGAGATTCCTGGGCCACTATCCTACAGCTTTATTTAGTCTCCTAAGTGAGACCTTGGAGTCCACTCTTTCACATGTGTCCTAGCTCAGGGTGATCCTTGGACCACCACATTTGAGGAACACTCATTGCTCCTTTGCTCAACTGGGTTTTCTTTGGTTGCAGTTTTCCCAGCTTAAGGTACTGCCTACCCGCGACCTCCACCTGTAATGTGTGAATGAACAAATGAACACTTGCTTAGCCCACTGAGCTCTTACCTGAACAGCCTCTTGAGGAATGGGGTCCTTGCAACCAAAATTGTAAGACTGGAACTTCCCGCCAGTCACAGAAGCAAGCTCTCTCAGAAAGTCATTGGCAACCTCATCATTGTAATTGAAGGAGATGGTATAAACAGGGATTTTCTGAAAAGCTTTGACTTGGTCTATCACCATTTCAGGTAGCTGAAATGACAAGGAGATGGAAAAAGAGAAAAATAATAAAACATGAAAACCCTTAGTATTTGCCACACACACTGAAATTCTTAAATAGTAATTCCTTATACAGTGGTGAGCAGCTTTTTAAATGTGTTGATTCACTGTAATAAACAAACCCTGCCAGACAGTGAGAGTCCAAAGGCCAATATGCTATGGCCCTCCGAGAATTCACATTTAGTGGGAAAAAATAAGCTAGGAGAAGGATTTGCATAACCAAATTGCTCAGTGCCCCTAAGCTTACCATCCAAACACTGTTAAAGTACTGGGGTCAGTCCTTGGACAGAACATCCTGGACATCGGGATTCTATATAGTGGAGTCCCTGGATTGTCAACTAGACTACAGTCATCTTGCTGATAGAGTGAAGGAAGAGCTATTTATTAAAAAATCCTCCAATGTGTTCGATATGCATTTTAGGCTAATCTCCCAGTTAATCTTCACAACCACCTCATGAGGTTGTTTTGGAAGGATTGTTACTGGCCTAACATCCATTCTTTTCTCCTTCTTTTACTATTAAAGTTTTGGTTTTCTTTACATGGCTCAGTTAATGTGCCTACACACACACACACACACACACACACACACACACACAGCAACAAAACACATAAACATATTCAAAATTTGCCTTCTGAGAGATTTACTAGCTAGAGCTGATCATGTGACCTGGTAATGGCCAATGAGAAGTAAGCAGAAGTTCCTAATGAAGGGTCCCGTTCTTCTAATAAGAAGACTAAAGACTTGCAAAAAGGAAGGAAGCCTAATGTCCTTCTCCTCCCTCCCTGGAAAATGGTCACCATCTTCCAGGAGAGCAGCCTTGTGGTGACCGGGAAGATGGAAGTCACATGTGAAGATGGTGGAGCGGGAAGATAAAGAGAAGCCTGTTTTCTTGGAGATGTTCTTGAGCAATTGAAAAACCCAGACTACCTACAACTGGACACCCATAGAAACAGACCCTTCAATTTTCCACCAGCATTTGTGTGTGCTTCTGCCTTTACTTCAGTAATGTGTACTTCTAATTGATATAGTAGGTAGAGACTCTATTTAAACATGGGAAAACTGAGACTCACCCCACATTAAGTTTCCCAAGGTCACATAGCTCTTAAGTGGTAGAATTGGAATCCAGACTTCATTTTTTGATGCTAGAAGCAATGCTAGATGATTTGTTCCCTGGTGTGCACTAAAGACCATCTCTTGGTAAGAATTAATTCTCAGAAAACATTACTTGACTTTTAGAAAAGCACCTTCCTCCCCACCACCAGAGTTCAGCTGGGAGAAAATGTCTTCAATTGTCCTGGTCCCTCTTTGAAGACCCATCTGGCTGAAGCAACTACTCAGCTCCTGGGTGGGGAGTTCTTACTTCTACCCTGCTTTCTGTCCTTTGACCTTTAACTTTTCCACATGTATTTTTGCACAGAGCCCTGGGAAGACAGGATGATGAAGGAGGAGGGACTTGGGACTCACCATTGGCTGGCCTTGGATGCATCACGCATTCCCTGGGGAGGCCACTAGGTGAATGTTCCCCTGGGAGCATCCCTGGACTCGTCTCAGCCATCACTTACACAGCTTCAGTCTCTCTGTCTGGCTGTAGCTCAAGTCAGTGTTTCCCCACCAGCTCCTCTCCCTGCCCATCAGCCAGTTTCCTAACCCAGCACCAACCCAACCTAGCTGAAAGGCTGACCCCATTGCCTCTTGCCAACTGCAAGGGCAGAGCAGAGACTTCTGCTGCTGCCTCCCCTCGTTCAACTCAGCTTCCCTTGCTGAGTATACATATGAGGCACAAGAGCTGTGCCTTTGTTGCCTCCTTGTGTTCTCTCTGCAGTCCTTGGGGGTGATGCTGTTAAGAGTCTCATTTCTTACCAAGGACTCCTGGCCACTGCTGTCCAACCCTTGATCTTCACTAGACTAAATACAGAACTAGATTCTGTTAATTTGAGAGACACAGTATGAGCCAGGAACAACTCCTGTGTATAGCTGAAATATTTGGGAAAAGAAACAAGAGAACATTGATTAGGACCAACTGTGCAGGTGCCAGGAAGCATGGGCAGCATTCCCACCTCATATATTCCGTGATTTTATAGCATGTATCTGTTTGCTTGCTGCCCACATTCCCAAGATAAGAGCGGCACAGGGCCCATAAAAGGTGCTCAATAAATATCTGTGGAATGCCTTCCTGAGAATATCAACTCATTTACCCCTCAGGGCAACCCTCTGCGGTGGGAGGACAATCTCTAAGTCACAGATTAGAAGACTTGCAAGTCATCCAGGTGGCATGAGCACATGAGAACCTGCCAAGTGTGTCTTCCGTCCCACCTGCACCCAGCCCGAGGCAGAGCTGCCACAGAGGGACATTACAGTTCCCCTTGTGGAACTGGTTGGAGAGCTGGGAGAGGGTGTCAGTGCCCCTGGATTGCAGAGCCAGCTCCATCTTTCTGTCCTCTGAGGGTTCCTCTAGCTGGTTCACATCCTCAGAGATGTGAAGAGGGGACTCAGGCTGAGGCCAGCCTCTCACCACACAGCCTGACTGGTCCTGACTCTCCAAACTCTTGCTCCAGGAGGGCTCTCAGCTGAGCAGTAGGGACCCCAGGCCCTGTCCAGATCCTGTATAAAAGCAATGCAGAGTACCCCTTGGGTGCTCCCCACAGAGGCTGCCAGCCCTCTGCAGTCCCTAAGCTAAGGCTACACAGCACAAGTGTACAGCCAGAGCCTCCGCCACCATGGATGCAACACCCAGTCCTTGGCACGACCTGGAAGTCACCTACTGGTGCAAGGTGATCACTGTTGTGCCTTCCCCATGCCCGGCCCTCCCAGACCCCATCTAGTCTGGCACTGTCTAGTAGTTCTTGTCTGGAATGGGGCAGACAGCTCCATCATATCTGTTTCCCTGATTCCTGCCAGTCTGAGTGCTTAACTTTGAAGAAATCCCAAAATGACCTAGCCAAAGCTGAGCTGGGCTCCTCCCAGCAGAGCCCCACCCCCAGACCCAACCTGATTCTCCCCCCAAGGACACAGTCTAATGCGAATCTGATTATATTTTAATGGAGACCGATATTTATAGAAGCTTAATTCTAAAGACTTGATTAATTTTAAAGACTTGTATCATTTTATCCCACCAGCCTGATCATTTTCATAAGCAAACAGTCAGCTGGTATCTGTATACAAACTCAGAAGGGCATCTTTGTGTATTCTTCCAAGTAGAAATTATGCAGAATACTCTGAATAGTAGCTTTGGCCTTACACATCCAGTGCCTTCAAAGTTGGTGAAAATACTTAATGTTTTCTATATAGAACATGAATATCTGATATCCACTTGCTTTCTTGAGAGAATCGTAGGGATAATGCATAATAAAATGCATGTGTAAAAAAGCTATGAATGTAAAAATTCATAAGAATTTATAAATTATGTTTTGGGTAATCTATTTTAAAATTTTATATGTACATTTTAGGTATACAATGACATTCATCATTGGAGACTTGTACCTTTACATAATATATCTTGATTCTTATTTTTCCCCATACCCTGCCCTCCGTTCAACCCCTCCACCCTTCCCATTTACAAAGACTTTGCTTCCATTTCTTCATTTTCTCATATTAATTCCATTCCCCTCTTTCCTTTTCCATACCCCTTCCACTTCCCTTTCCCTTTGCACCTTTTCTTCCTATTTTACATTATCTATTATACATTTTCATCCTTATTTATACACTTTCAGTTTCTCACACCAGAGAAACTATTCAGTATTTACACGTGTGTGCTATTTATTTCACTTAAGAGTACCGCCTTAATGTGCATCCATTTAGCTATAAATTCCTCAAATTTTTTCATTCTTTATGGCTGAGTAGTACTCCATTATTAAAAAAGAAACACATTTTCTTTATCCAGTCTCCAGTTGATGGATTGGGTTGCTTCCATATTTCAGCTATTACAAACTGTGCTGCTATGAACCTGGGTGCACATATATCACTATGGTAGGATTCTTTTATTTCTTTTGGAAAGATACCCAGCAGGAGATTAGCTGGGTCAAATGAACCTCCAGTCCTAGTTCTTTGAGGTATCTCCATCCATCCTGATTTCCACAGTGGTTGCATCATTCTACACTCCCAGCAACAGTGGAGAAGGGTTTCTTTTTCCCCACAGCCCCATCAGCATTTGTTAGTGGTTGATTTCATGAAAGCAGCTATTCTTTCTGGGGTGAAGTAGAATCTCAGCGTTGCTTTCATTTGCATCTCTTGAATGACCAGTGATGTTGAACATCTTTTCATATGCTTATTTGCCATTTCTACTTCTTTGCTTGAGAAATATCTGTTCATTTCAGATGTCCATTTTTGGATTGGATCTTTAAATTTGAGAGGTCTGATTTTTTAAAAGTTCTTTATGTATTCCAGATAGTAGACCTTTGTCTGAGAAACAGCTGGTGAAAATTTTTTCCCACATTGTGGGTTGTCTCTTCACACTGTAGGTGGTTTCTCTTGCTGTGAAGAAAGTTTTTAACAAGAAGACACCCCATTTGTTGATTCTTTGTGCTACTTCACGTGCAACTGACGTTTTGTTCATGAAATCTTTTCCTATGCCAATGTCTTCAAGAGACCTCTTGCAGCTGGTTTAGTATTTCTGTTTTAATATTTAGGTCTTTAATCCATTTCAATTTTATTTTAGTGCATGGTTAGAGATATAGGTCTAGTTTTAACTTTTGGCAAGTTGAAAGCCAATTTTTCCAGCACCATTTGTTAAAGAAGCTATCTTTCCTGCATTGAGGGTGTTTGGCTCCTTTGTTGAAGATGAGGTGGCTGAGTGTGTTTGAAATTGTTTCTGCATCTTCTAATCTATTCCCCTGATCCTCAAGTCTGTTTCTTTGCTAGTATGATGCTGTTTTTATCATAGTAGCTTTGTAGTATAGTTTCGTGTTGGGGATTGTGATAACCCCTACCTTGTCTTTCCTGCCTAGAATTGCTTTTGCTATTCTATGTCTCTTCT